AACAAAACCATTATACCCTGATTTCCCATTTTCAATGGGTTCAGGGTATAAAAACTTATTGAGAATAGTTTACAGGCTGCTCACATATGTGCATAGAAAGCTTGGACAAGGGTGCTTCATATGCATATAAATAGAGAGAGGGCGTGTAGAGGGAGGCGGGGCGACAGAGAATATGCTGTTGTAGAGTGCAGCAGCTTTGCTGACAACAATAACAACCACAACAGGAGCGAGGCGACAGCTAAAAATCGTTGTAAAATATTTAAGCGTGATATGAAAATGCAAAACCACAGCGACCAACAGCAGTCAGCAGTGCGAGTGTGTGAGAATGTGTGTGTGTGTGTATGATTATATGATGTGCATGTGTGTGTTTGTTTGTGTGTGTTTGTGTGTAGCAAAAAGTTTAGCTGAGTTCACTTTAGTTAACTATAAAAGCAGCATCAGCTCGCTCCTAGTTGATTGCTATGCAACGCGGCGTGTGGCACAAACCAATGAACCACATAATGTGGTATGCACAACACACGCACACACACATACACAAGTATCCATACACACCCACACAGTGGCAGTGCCAGCAAACGTTTAAGTGAGCGTGTAAATTATTTAAATTATTTATGAACTGCAGCAAACAAGGCCAACTGGTTGCAGCTAAATGAATGTTGCAACAAACTTTGCTTGATATATGTACAGCCGTATACATACATATATCTGTATCTATATCTTTGCCCTTGCCAAATCAAATTCTTTCACTTTTAACATAATACAAGTTGTTATTTTTCTTTTGGCAGCCTGCCAATCCCTTGACAGCGCTTAAACAGCGTCAAGCGCCTCTCCATTCGCTTAGCATTGTCGCCTGATAAATGCGCCGCAATTCACTTGAAAGCGGACGAAAAAAAGTTTTGGTCAACTGACTTTAAGCGTTAACTCCCAGTTGGTGGATTTATTAATAGGCCTGCGTCCAAAGACACCCAAGCGCAAAGACGTTTGTTAAACAAAAAGCGAAGCGAAAAGCAAAACAAATGACGACTGCCAAAACTCGGCCGATATACATATATTTCAGCTTATACAAAAGTAAAAAGAAGTAGAAAGAAATAAAAATGTTTATTGAGGAATTCATTTTTAGTCCTTAGCCCGAATTTAAATAATTGTTTTGTTTGCTATTTAGAGAAATTTAATTTTAACTTTAAATTTGTTTTCTTTCTATTGTAGATATTATGTTGAGAGCGGAAGGAACTGCTGGAAAACACCTCTTTATGAAATACCAATGACAAGTTAGTTTGATTAAATATATGTATATTTTTAGGATAATATATTATTTGTATATTCAACTAATTTAATATAATATGAGAAGAGGTGAATTAAGAAATTAGATTAGATGAATTAACTGAAATCAAAGTTCCATTGTTCAATGTTGCCATTTCGAGAAGCTTTTGCGAAGCTGAGTGAGTCCCACATAAAAGTAAAACAATTTATAATAAGTGCTAGCCAACTAAAATATATATATATATAAATATAATATATTACAGTCGTAATAGCAACAATAATAACAGCATCAAAAAATCACGAATATGATGTAAGATGAGAATTGACGAATTAGCATAAAAAAAGAGAGATTGAGCTTGAGACTGTAAGTTTTAGGATCTGTTGAAAATGTAAGAGTCAGTAAGAGTCAGATGAATAAAAAAATATATATCATAAATTCTAGCATTACACACATTACAATACACATTACAATATAGGATAATCGTAATAGCAGCAAAAAAAAATAAATAAAATAAAAAATAAAAAAATAAATAAATAAATAAAAAAAAAATAAAAATATTAAAAAAAAATATAAATATATATTTTAAGATAATATAATATATGATATAATGTAAGCTGAGAATGGATAAATTAACAAAAATCAGAGATTGAGCTTGAGTCTGTAGATTTAATGCTCTATCGAGCTTGTCGAGTTCCTGTCTATATTAAGCTAAACAATTTTCAAATAAATTCCAGCCAACTTTTTCACATTTGCTCATACTAATCGTAATAGCAAAAACAATAAGAATAATAATAATCA